CACTCACAAATCCTGCACGCAGACCTATTACCTTCGTGGATCGCGACAGGGAAAAAAAAAATTGCTCGGCATTAACACATTTGCAACTTTCCCGTTGGAATGCACTGTTTGTTACTATTCTGGCTGCCAGAAACTCTAAACCTACATATCTGTTTAGCTGTAATCAATTTAAAGAAATAACCATTTCTAGACATCAAAGACTTAAGCATTATGTTTTGAAAAGTGTGCTGCGTGATTGCTCATTCCCCCCCCCCCTGGCCCTCCCCCGCACCCATTCCGCCTTCATCTTCGAAATAAAATCGGCCACATATTTACACGCAACTTCAAAAATCTGGAGCCGGCTTTACGGGAGCATTACCGGCATAATTTATTAATAATGCTCGTATTGCATTAGGCATTTCCAGATGAATGTCTGGCACGGGCTTGCCTCCTGTAGAATGCGCCCCGAGCTGTCCCCCGCCCCCCCCCCCCCCCCTTGCCCGGCCCCCCACCCCCGCCCACCGTTATAGCGCCGCATCTCCCCACGTGCAAGCGTGCGCGCCGTTGCGTAATGCCCCGTGCTGCGCCCCCGAATCGTCGGAGCGAACGCCGCTTGCGGTGACACCAATTTCGCTGCAGGTGCGAGCGGAAACATAATCTCCCACTTTTTATTCTGTCCGCCACATCTGACAGTTTTATCTCGTTAATCTGATAAACGCAACAAGGCTCGGGAGGTTTTAATTTTTTTAATTTTTCCGTTGGTCCTTTTTTTTCTTGTTGCTCGCACGCTCCCAACGCCAAGCCGCGCATCGTCATTCGTGGCCAGGTCGCTTCTGAAATAGAGCGATATAGCTCCGTGGGCCTGGTCAAATAAAAGGCTTAGTTTCTAGTCGAGTTTTAGGAGTGTTTTCAGAACGTTTACGTCGGAAGAATGATATCGAACCGAAGGGTGCGAGTAAGACCGAGGCAACGAAGATGGTGAAGGAGCGGACAGCGGTGGAGGGGAGTTGGTTTATCCACGTTATCGCCCCCTTTAGCTGATGGGTGAAACAAAAACAAAGAGGTTAATAGATTGGTGGGGGAACACACGGGCAGAGCAAACTTAGGCGGGCGCAACGGACAAGCCAGACTCCACGAGCAAGACGGACAATGCACCTGAGATCCAATGTGGAAAGACGAGGCGGTGAGATGAGCAATACAGACAGGGCCTAGTACCAAGAACACAATGAGTACGAATGTGACGGGGGTGGAGAGGCGACGCAGTGGTTAGCGGTTTGCGGTTAGCAGGTGCGTGTAGTTAGCGCACTTTGGCTGTCAACCCGGTGACCCTGTGTTTGATAATCCGACGTCAATGGCGAGCGATAGCTGAACTGCCGGCCGGGGTCGGCTTCCTTCCCTTCAGCAACCCGTACTGACCAGCGTGGTGAAGTACGCTCGGACAACTCGCATGGACCAACATAATATGTGGAAGGCTTTTCATCAAGCAGTTAGTTGACGGAAAGCCTTACATTTGTACCTTCTTTGGTTACAAACTGTGCAGACCGTACAGCGGATGCACAAGAAGGTTAAGGTGCAGCCCTGCAATTGCTGGACAAATAACCATCCTTCTGTGGGCGGTATTTTGGTCTACTCTTCCATGCTTGGCCTCGGTCTCGCATGAGGCCAAACGACGCAAAAACAGGTCGACGCGAAAAAATATTTTCTTGGAACGAATCAAAAACTCGTCACGATCGATCCATCCAGCGATCCAATCCATCGATCCATCCATCCATCGATCGATGGAAAGCGTGGGTTTGCGGAGATTGCGGGGAGCGAATCGTCTTCGCTCCCGTTAGGCCGCACGTTTCAACGCTCGGCTCATTGGGCCACGGTTTTCTAAGCGCGGGGTTGTCGCACGCGCGGCCGTGCGAGGCGCCGTCGCCGCGCCAGGCTAGGCCGTCCGGCGGGACGGCGTGCGCCAACAAAGGGCCGGGCGGTGCGCCGGTGAGCAGGTGAGCAGGTGAGCAGGTGAGCCGGTGAGCCGTGGGACATGACGGCGTCGGCGGCTCGTGCTTGTTGATTTTATGCCCTGCACGCAGCCGCCTTCCACCGCTCGCCAGATCGTATCGGCGAGATAAGGCCTCCAGCGGTGTAGCGGGAGAGTAAAGTAGGTGGCGCTGACGGACGTGGCTGAACGTACGTGTATAAAACAAATTTGCGCGTTGGATAAATAGCGTAGGTAAGTGCACATTCGTGTTATTGTGTTTTTAACAGTTTACAGTAACAGGATCGCTTTCCCTTTTTGTGAGTTCTTTCATTGGGGTTTGTTTTCTCTCCCCTCCTCCCCCCGTGTGTCCTCAGACCAACTCCTCCCCCTTCTTTTCATGTGCCGTGATTGATGAAGCTCTGACAGGTTCATGTGGCAGAGCCTTTTTATATATGCATTCATAAAATCCACCGCTTGCATTGGAAACACCTGCATGCGATGGCAGCCTGGGTAGATCGGCAACAGCAGCAGCTGCACCGGCAAGTGGCTTTTGTCACCTCGGCGCCACGGTGGCGAGATGTTCACCGCCCCCCTGGTATACCGACGGTCGTGGGTTCGTTCCCGACCCTGACGATGCCTCCTGAAATATTTGGAGTTTGCGTGCCTCTCGCCCCGTGGTCGCGTGGACTTTTCTTCGGGTCCTCTGGGTTTTCCGCTCCACATTTAGAAACGCGCGTTTGGAGTGTTTGGCTGCTATAATTTTCCACGTGCTACGCCACTTCGTTGAACTATCATGTATGGCCGGGTCGCGCCTGCAAAAGAGATGTGCAGCTCAGTGGGCCTCACGTGGTAAAGTTTTAAAAAAACTGCCTGCTCCTCCTCCATCCAGCAGTTGCATCTGCAGGAGAGAGAGAGGCCGACTTATTTGCTCGAATTCTGACACCTGCCTCTGCTCTCTCTCTCTCTCTCGTGCGCGTGTGTGTGTTTTAACCCGGCAAACAGTTTTAAGTCAATAAGTGTTGTGGCAAGGAATTGATGCCTCTGTGGGAGTTGGGGAGAGCGAGCGTTGGGGGCCGTGGGGGGGAGGGCGAGGATTTGGGGGTGGGGGGGCCGGGGGGGGGGGGACAATCGAGGGGGGGGTTGCTTGCAGTGTTTCCAGAGGCAGTTAGCGGACGTCTCATTCGATTACGCGATGCACGTTTCTCGCCTCCTCGTTCCGGCCCAGCGCGTTGATTTATTTTTTATTGCGGACGCTGCCGGCAGGGATGCCCAGCCGTGTCACGTTGCGTCCAATGAAGAAAATTCAGCGCAGCGTTCTCGACGCCCGCACCTCCCCACGGTTCGGCTGCGTACGGCGCGAAATAATTTCAACATTTAGCCACCATTGAGCCAGAGTTGTTGTCTTGGTGTGGTCAGGGACTTCTGCTGTTGTTGTTTTGCTGCCTTGCCCCAAGCTTGCATTTGGTGTACGGCACATCGCCAGCAATCCATCTACTCGTGCAATTTGTACTTCTGTACTTTAGTGCCCCCGTAGCGTTTTCGTTGTATCGTTTTGTCGATGTAACTCACTGACCCGCGCCCCTACTGGACCGTCGGCGAAAAAGAGCTCCGTAGCTTCATTGGATTCCTCCTCCACTCTGACAGATTCTGTACGTCTGTTGAACCTCTTTCGCACCGTACGTAGCC